ACCTCACTCCTCTCCCAGGGATCAATCGTCCTCGTCGTACTCCTCGCCCTAGAACCCCTCCTTTTAGGCGTACCACTCTTTTCCCTATCCCTCTGCGTCAATATCGTACTTTCACCTACATCACTTCTCTCCCAACTATCCACACTTCTCGGTACACTTAATTCTCTCTCCCTCTCCCTCACACCGGGAACCTTCAAATCTTTTTCCCTCTCTCTTTCACCACCACTTCTTCCCCTCGGGGCCTGAGTCAAAACTGTACTGTCACCAACTTCACTCCTTTCCCATGTATCGATTGTTCTCGCCGAACTTCTAGCGCGTTCACGAAGTCCGACTCTTGATCTACGATGTGATCGTGATCGTTCATCCAGAACTTCATCTTCTTCGAATACGACAATCTCATCATGTTGTTCCGAATGTTGAATTTCGACTCGTGGAAGTGATCCTGGTCCTCTATCTCTTCTTTCCGGCTCTTCATCTCCAGCCGGTACAATTCTAATTCTCGAATTCGTCTTGTTCACATCGGCAGTCATTCCGGCCCTCAGCCGCTCCAACTCCCTCATATCCCTCTCCAAATCCGGATCCCTCGGATCAGCTGTAACTCTCGTTCGACTCCTAACCGGCAGTTCTCCAAAACCTTGTCCATAAATCCGATGTTGCCTCGATTTTCTTCTCTCCCCATTATAACTGGAGATCCCTCGTAACTTCTCCAATTTCTCATCCGATTCCAGTTCCTCCCCAGTAACGACCGGTCCACTCCCATAACTAACCACCTCATCCCTTCCCATCCGGTTTCTTCTTCTTCCATGTTCGCCATTTACAGCGGCATCTCCTAATAATAAATCATCGGCTGTCATGTGAGCTTTCTCCCCCGTGGATCTAGTGGACGTTCGATGTGATCTCCTCTTTTTCTTTTTTCGTCGTCGATGCATAAGTGATTCTTGATATTTAACGCGCTCTATTCCTTATAAAAGTTGAATAATCAGCAAGATGAACTACTAAAATTTGTGTATGGAGATGAACGTCTCCTAACGACATTATCATTTCATCTAAAGATGTTTTTGATATGTAACGAAAGATGCGATAAAATTATTGGAAATTAGGTAATGAAAGACGCCCTTCACAAGATTCCCAACCATTCAAATTTTTGTATCCATATGCTCCCTATTCCCCCATTTTAAGAAATAAAAAGAGTGTATGTAATCAAGGGATTATTAATATGTGGAAAATAAGCATGAAAATGAAAGTAACTTCAACGCATCCCTTCAAACGTCAAATTAGATCATCAGACGGAAACTAGCCCCTAATAAATCAACGCTTATGAATATTACTTCATGAATCACTGTCACGTCGGGTATCAATTTCGGCTGTCATTATAGCCCTACGATCATCTGCACTCGCCTCATCAATAACCTTGTGAAACATGCCCTTACCTTTATTCAACAGTAGTAATTTTCTTTCATATGGGCCGAGATTTTCTTCGATAAGAGTTTGAATGATTGGTGCATCCTTTTCCGGTCCATCATATTCCCATACCCATCTAAAATCGCTTGTACGCTCATCGTCCAGTGCCGCTGGCGCCGTGGGACCCCATGTGGCAGTTGGCGGGATAGGATCGGAGACTTTAATACGAATCTGATCAAGACGCCATGGTCCTTTTTTGAGCAGCGCTGGGCATTTATACTTCGTCATGTCGTCATCACCAAGTCCGCCAAGATCAAGTCGAATTCGTACACTTGAGTGGATACGTTCATTAGTATGTGTCATTGGTTCCCCAGTTGAGACACCTGTATCTGGATCTAAACGTTTGTAAAGACCAGGAGTTCTGGTCTGTTTACCTGCAAGAGTCCACTATTAAATGTCAGTCTCCCTGTTATTCGACGAAGGATATGGCCAATTTTGGGATATGACCAGAAATAATTATACTTACAATTCCGGTATTTGAGCTATAAATTTTGCCCAGAGCCCATGGGCGAACCGGGTGATGTTTTTCGTACACGGCTGGCGTTGCCCATTCATTGATTGGCTTCGAGAACCTGAAGATAGAAGTTGAAGGAGGTGGCAGACTTTCGTAGTAATGAACACTCTTTCGAAAGATGACGTCGATAGCATCATCATGAAAAGCAATCCCAATAGAAGCAAGCTGATCCATCATCCAGGCCAAAGTAATGTTTGCAACTTCCTGATCATCATATCCTCCTCCGACATTTGCATGGCTTCCAGGGAACCAGACTTGTCGTAGATCAGTAGGTTCATTATCGAAATCCCTTATCTCCCATACGGCAGGACTAAACGGCCTTCGATTTTCATCGAGTGCCAAAGCTTGGAAAGCATGTCTGATGTAACTGGATAGAGTGGTATCGTGAAATTTATATTCCTTGGTTGAATGCGGGAGTCCAAGTTTTGCAAGTAGAGCAATATTTGGAATGCCCAAAGAACCTACAGTATCCCAGACAGCAACAGCTTGAACTCGAATTTTCGATCCATTTGGATCATAAACTCGGGTTAAACCTTCTTCTTCCAATCTCTTCTTGTACTCATCACCGTCTTTTGGTTTGTTTGAAAACGGAATATCGGGAAAGATGTCATGGTAATCGGGATTTCTGAAATTCTCCTGGTCTTTAAACACAGCATAAAAGTTGGTCATGCCATGACGGGTGAGTAGCCCAATATCCGAGATCATTCCAGCAACACTTCTAGCAGTGAATGCACCACGAGAAAAACCGACAAGAATAATTTCATCGCCAGGGCTATAATTGGCAGCAACGAAACTGTAAACCTCACGAATGTTCTTGATGTATGTCAGTACATATCCGAGCCCGGGGTAGAGCAATTATTACCTCAGAAATACCGGTGCCGAGCATACCTCCACTGAGGGTATCCATCATAGTACTACCGGTACCGACACCGGAATGATAATAAATGATTTGATGAGTGCCATCTCGAGCATATCTTTTCAGGGCTCTTGAAAGACGAGTCACGTTACTTGGAGTCTATGAAGAGGTAAAATTAGTGGATGAATTTCGCTTGATTGGCTAGAAAGTGGAGATGGCGGTGAAGGGGGTGTGGTACGATAAGGTCTGGATCAAATAAGGCCAGTCTGAAATTTGATCAACGAGGAATATGTTTTATATGAAAGTAAAGCCGGTGTAACTCACTTGCATTGTACCAGTTGGTTTGTAAGGAATGAGTGTTGGTTTGTTGAACCCATCATCACTAATGATTGATAGTCAGTAGGATTGCTCATGTGATTTGAGTGAAGGGGAACTATAAGATCTCACCTGTCCATCCATGTACCATCACAACATAGAATTATACGTTTAGGAAGAACATTTTTTTGACCTTCATATTCATCCATCTTGTTTCGTGTAGCTTGATGTCGGCGAAGAGAATGTAGTGCTCTCGGTAGAAATGAGGGACGACACCACAAAAATGATTATTCTGTTATCATGTACTTAGTGAAATGTAACCCGAGAGACGAATACCAGAGAAGATTGAATTCATACCTATAGTTTTGGAAAGGGTATATGTATATGTGTGTGTATATATAGATATATATATGTAATAAAAAATTATCAAGGGTATCAAGGAATGATGATGTGAAAGCTCTTTCGGATTGATTCGTAAATGCGTAATGCGTAAGGCGTAAGGCGTAAGGCGTAATGAAGAATAACTTCGTATCAAGACTCTCGAGATCCTAAAAACTAGATGTGAGGGGTTGAAAGCGAACAATTTATACAAAACCAGAAGGGAGTAAGCCTCTCTCTTTTTCCCTATTCCCTTTTCTCTCTTCTCTCTTCCCGTTTCTCTTTTTCCTTTCCCTTTTTCCTCTTCTCTTTCCCCTCACTATCCCGAGGCTGATGATCGGAAAGTATTAATTTTTCTCAATCAGTATTGGCTTGATAATTGCATCGAAATGTATCACCAGTGATTTTCAGCCATCTCTCAAGAACGTTGCAGTGACACTCATCACAAATATCCGCTCTTTTTCAGCACCGAATTGAAGGACTATTTAAGCCTCCGAGATCATTTTGGTAAAGGATGTAAGCATGTAATGGAATATCAAGGAACACGATTCTGCTGTTTTGGAAACTTTTTGGGTGATCAGAGGGTGGTGTTGAGTGTTGAGGTTGGTTAAATTTCTACCTAGGTAGGCAAGGTTGCTTATGTGCTTATGTGCTGTGCTGGTCTTCTTTTTCCGCCTCTTTTCCATTCTTTCTTCCTTCTATTCTTTCTCTTCTGTCCATACCGGCCTAGGCAAAACATGATCTGCCAATCTCACCGTGCCAGCCAGCCTTACAAATGATTTCATCAAGGATTATTGAAATTTTGACGGTTTTTATTCGTCAACGCCATCTTTATAAATTTTGCCATGTCAGAGGATACTTTATTGGATGAATTATATGAACATCTCCATTTTTTTTATCCTGTGGACCCGAATGTGGCTTTACATGAACAGAGCGTTGAGACTTTTTCCTTTCACCGTCATGCCGTGCCATGATCGATTACATTTCAACCTCTTGGCGGCGATGTGATAATATATCAAGAGGTTGAAGGTTGAGGGTTGAGAATGGAGGATTGAGGATTGATTGACTCGATATACATAACCTTACATATTAATTTTCATGCGAGAAAGTTCTCTCGAGAGGAGCTGAGGTTAGATTATGGTATAGCGTGGTGGGGTGGATGTTGATCATTTAGTCCCACCAAGCTTCCCGTGTCTCTAGCTACCAGGTAAGTTTACTACTGTGCTCTGTATTCATACAAAGACAATATTGGTATTCTACTACATTGTACTCGAGTATCTCCTGCGAATCAATATCAAAAGCTACAGTATCTCAGTGCGTGCTTCGAAGATCACCTAGTATCCCCTTCAGCCCCGGAGATCTCAAAATCATCGGAAATGTTTCAAAAGACTCGGCCCAAGGAATCGATCAAATTGTTAAGGTCTGATTTATCACTTCACATGATGTGTGTTGTAGCAAAAAGCTTCTCATGTCTCATCTTCCTGCAAGTCACCCGATAAAATGAGATGAATGCGGGGTCATGTGTCTCGCCGTGCCGCTTTCTTGGAGTCAGAGACAGCTTGGTGATACTGGTGTACCATTGTGCATGATTTTATCAAAAAGCAACTTGATAAAACGAACAACTATGAATACATATATGGAGTATCATCATGAACATGCAATATGTCCGTCAAGCAGGGGACAGACCTACTAACCCCAGTTGATACCTTTTACATCCGCAATGGACTTGATCAGGAAGATAAACTTACATGTCATGAATTCGTTAGAAATTCCTTCCCAGGGAAGAATATCGAGGAACCTGCCTGTCAAGGGTATTGCTCGCTGACCTTTTTCGTGGGAGACGATGTTATTGTTCAATTCCGACCTTCTCAATATAAATTGAACCTCCTGGTAACTCATGCTGCACGAGAAATTTACGGCGCGTTTTGCCCTCGAACTACTTATCTCACCACTCTCACGAAGACAGGACTATTGGTATATTCAATGAATCGATTATCGGGTGTTTCATACAGAGATTTTCGAGCAAGCAATACAGCTTTGGCTAACAGTACCACGGCTCGAGCAACGTTGTGTAAAGATTTTGCGACCTTTTTAGCGGTAGGATGGCACAGGAAAGATTTAATATCTCTTCCCTTTGGTATTGTGGGATCATCATTGAAATACCGTCTTGAATTGCTATGCAGAAACTTACCTTCGCGATTCCGGCCCAGGGCAAACAGAATTCTCAAAAATATACAACATATCGAAAGTCTTCCATGGATCCTCAGTCATGGCGATATACTCCCCAGCAATATGATAATCGATTCCCTTACGCAACACCTCGTTGGACTTGTCGACTGGGCAGAAGCAGAACCTCTACCATTCGGAACTTGTTTCTACGGACTTGAAGAAATTCTAGGCGAAATTACGCCGATTGGTTTTAATTACCATCCCCATGCTACATATTTGCGGGGGGTTTTCTGGACCGAACTAACCATTCGAATTCCAGAGTTAAGAAACGACAGTTTGATGAAAAGAGTGAGACTTGCGAGGGACTTGGGCGTCATACTCTGGCATGGCATTGCCTGGGACGATGGAGCTATAAATCGGGTTGTTGTGGATGGAAGGAAGGAAGATGTAGATGAGATACGAAGATTAGATGCCTTTCTGGATATTGCTGGTAATGCTGATCTTACCACTAAAGCTACAATTGGCCAGGAGAATCCGTCAAAACTTTGAGAGGAACGGCTTCGAGACGGAAAATAGCTTGATCTCTGATGGAGGCCTTTCATATAGCGACATGCGACTTCCACACATTCTGTCTTTTCGTCCAGCCTCGCTGCAAATGAATTTGGAATGGATAGCTCTACTCTAGTCTCGCCCAATCCTTCTCTCCTCAAAAGAAATCCAACAACAACCACTCATTACATTACCCCATAACCTCAACCCTAACATCAACATCCCATCTCTCATCTTCCACCCCACCATCTTCTGTCTTCCTTTAGCCTTTCCAATGCATCACATCGACTCATACAATTAAAACAACATCCTTCTACCACCCTACAACCTTCCACCGCATTATTCCTTCCAAATTTCAACGCCGTCTAGCATTTCCTCGTATATTAATTTTTGTGTCTTGAGATCCCCACTATCTTTTAGAGATAGATATATATCCTGTGTTTTCTTTTCATTTTCATTTTCTTTTCTTTTTAGGGTTGAGATATTTCTTTTTACTATGTTTTTATGCGTTTATTCTGATTTATTGCATCTTGCCAGACACTTCATAATATGGATACCCATTGAAATAAGGCATGACGGAAAGAGACGATTTGCGCGATTTTTTATTGTTATTTGTATTTGTTTGTAATTTGATGTTCTCATTCTACTGTATATCAAGACTCTTCCTACACATTCAAACCCTTGTATATTTACAGGTGAAAGATTACTGCATCTATCTATCCCACAAAACTACAAATCCAACCAGCTCCCCACCAACCTCAAAGCTTCGCCTTCTGCTCCTCCTCCTCATCCACAGATCCACCTCTACTTAACACTTCCCCCCCATCCACCACCAAGTTAGCCCCATTAACATGACTTCCCGCCCTACTAGCCAAATAAACCACCGCTCCGGCAACATCCTCCGGTCTCCCCAATCTCCCATGTGGATTTGCCTTTGCGAGTTTCTGGGCTCCCCCCTGCTTTTCTATAATGCCATTGGCCATTTTGGATGGGAAGAATCCGGGGGATATAGAGTTGCAGAGGATGTTTCGGGGTCCGAGTTCCATGGCGAGACTGCGCGTCAGGTGGATGGCGGCGGCTTTGGAGGCGGAGTAGCCGATTGCGGAGGTGGGAGATGGGGGGGAGACGGCGAGGCCCGCGATGGACTGGATGGAGGGTGTTAGCTTTGTGTTGGGGTAGGGTTGGGATTGTTTGAGGGGAATTGGGGTGGGATGGGATGGGATGGGGACGAGTAAAATGTGAAGAGGATAGGGATACATGATTAAGATTGAATGATGACATTTATGGCCGTGGGGAAGGGATGTAAGAATTGGAATACTTACCGCTGTTACTATCACCCGAGAAGGGTCTTCGGGAGTAGCAGCCTTTTGAAGAAGCGGCGCGAATCTATATATCGACACATTAATACCCTTCCCAAACTACCATCCCAAGGCATACATATCCCCGACTACATCATTGCAAGCAAAAAAAAAAAAAAAACATACAATCTCACAGTTCCAAAAACACTCTTAACATTTAAATTCATAACCTTAGCAAACGCTTCATCAGGATGGGTATCGAATTTTTCTCCCCAAGTAGCTCCTGCATTTGCGAATAATATATCAATATGATCAGTCGTTTTTAGATACTTCGGATACGAGATGTGTAATTCCTTCTATGGTGGATATGTCTGCTAGGATGGAGATGGCTTTTGCGTCTGCAGAGAGGTTGGGGAGGGAATTGAGAGTGGTGATTGCGGTGTGGCAGGCGGATGCTTTGCGGGAGGTTATGTAGACGGTTGTGCAGCCGGCTTGGAGGAATCTGGAGAGGAGGCGGGGTTAGTTGGCTGGGTTAAAGTGAGCGTGGAGAGGTATAATCAAGCGGAGGGAGGGGTGGAATAATGAGATAATATACAATGACTTTTTTTTAAATAAAAAAATTATATTGTAAGATTGACTTCTCATCAATAACTTTATATGTAGAATATATATATATATATCTAACTCACGCAGAAGCAGCATGTAACCCTAAACCCCTCGAACCACCAGTTACAACTGCAATTTTTCCCTTGAGGGAGAAAAGGGTTCCGAAATCTTGGAGTTCTGTGTCGTATTTGGACATTTTGGGTTTTGTTGTGACGGACTTTCTCTCTTTTTTTGTATATATTCTGTAATGTGATGCAAGTGAAGGAGAATGTCAAAATGGGGATGGGGATGAAAGTGAGGATGAAAATGAAAATGAGGATTTAGTCAAGAATAATGTGAATGGAGAGTGAGGGGATATTTGATACTTGATACTTGATACTCGATACTGACATAGGAAAGGTACATACGTACAAGTACCTTCTCGGATAAGCAAAAGCGGAGAACCGAAAGCTGGGGGAAAGTTGGAACTACCGAGGTTGTGTGGGGGTTTGATATCTAGGTATCTATGTATATATATGTGCCTAGAGGTTGATTGAGATTGAGATTTTATAGGATAGTACTTGTTATACGATTATATGGGAAACTTTCATTTCGTTTTTAACTAGATAAGGTTATCTATATGCGTTGTTGGTGGTAACCTAGGTGTTGAAATGGGGGGTTTTGAAGATGTAGTTTGGTTATATTGGTTTGGTTTAGTAATCTTTGAAGGGAGGGAGGCTCGTGGTGGAGCTTAGATGGGGTTAGAGGTATGACTATTTAGTGGATTCATTCTAGGTGTTTTCCGTGCTGTATTATCTGCTTTGTATTGATACTAGTATTGGTGGATGAAGGGTCTGTTTTTTTATTTGCTTGGTGTTTTTTAGATAGTTTCTTTGGTGATTCTCATAGTTCTAGGGTAAAAGTCTTTATCAAAAGAATTCCTTGGGCTCTGGAAGTGAAAATTTAACTAAGGGTATTGGGATCGATATTCTCAATAGAGCATCACTGTGTGACAGGTAAGATCTTACAAATACAAAGGGGCAACTAGTAAGAACACGAAATATTGAAATCAATTGATCTTCTGTAAGCTATCGCAGCCGAAGCTTTCTCTACACATATCAGCTTTTTCTAAGGGAAGGTTGTATTTATCGAGGATTCTAAATATATCCTCAAAAGTAATCTTACAAAGTGTGGTGGATTATGGTTGTTACTAACTACGCCGTGTCATGCGGCATCTAGTGTCCAAGTGTTCTTGGCACCTTAACCGTTCTTCAGCCTTGCTTGTAGCGCCGGGAATGTTTCGGAATTCAACTGACTCGTGAGTTTCACGTGGTGATCATCCGCATTTTACTTGTGGCTTATGGAGCCATTATTCGTACCATGATTTTCGATGCTGGATTTACAGCCATGAGGCTTAGCGCCGGTATTGGTTGCCGAGCTTCCAGATAGCGTTGAAGACATGTGTAGAGGAACCTACGCGGAAAATTGTCAGGGTTATCTAACTCTGCTGCCTTATAACAATATACTTGAATTTTCTAGGGGCTCGGTGAACCATAATTAGCTCTGATGATTTGTGATCATATTGTTAGTTTAGGAAATCTAGACTCAGTAGCTTTCTTGGCTCGTAGTGTTACAAAGGACATTGATAGGTCTCCTGAATATTCACAGTTAAGCACATATTCTCAATCAAGAAAGTCAGATAACGACACTGCCCTGTGAGTGCATCATTGAAGGTAACACCCTTGACTATAACGTTCTGGTCATTTAGCATCGCTGCATGAATCATTGAATTTGGTTACCGTGACCAAAAGGGCAAAGTTAGTTGGCCTGTCTGAACCCATAGAACTATTGTACATAATACTTATATACGCAGTACTTCCTGATCCCTCCCTTAATTCACGCCCAAAAAAGGAATAGCTGTGAATTTTTCCCTGTGTATATTGTTGCCTAGCAAGAATATGCGGAAGTCGGGGAGCGTCTAATCCGTTTGATTGGACAATCAAGCGAACATCGGCGTTTAACCCCGCGATTTATTCTAGAACAGGAGAATAAGTCCGAGTACAGTCCTATCTCAAATATTTTATTACTGCGTATATGCATCTCTCGGACATCATCGCCGTTGATATCAGGCCGTTCCAACCCCATATTAATTAGACCCCGACTTCGCTCGTCAAAAGTACCTGACTACCTATACTAAATGCTCGTTTGGGTTTTAATTGATAACCAAGACAAATGCACGCTGTCTTATTGGGGCGCAGAACTATTAGTAAACACCGAGACAAGCATTCGAATCTTGGGGCTACCGTGTTGGTATTAGTTCACCCTTGCGAGTATTCTAGGATCCTGATAAAGTTCTGAATAATTTTGTGGTCAACTGCATATGGTCACAATGCATATGAGAATATGAGTATTACTGGGTACAGTTACTGTTGGGAAGACACCCCACGAGGCGTTTTCCTCCCGCGCCATGAGTCAATAGCCTAGGTCTAAGGATGAATGCATGATATATCCTTACCTACTCCGTATACATACATTGCTTCTCACCTTTTGCTATGTATGTAATTGGGGTAAAGGAGTTCATCAGACTGGAGAGCTACGAGGGCTAATCAAGTCTTTCATATTAAATAGCGAATCGAATTGTGTTCTTTATACCTACTTGGATAGTCGGTCGACATGATCCAGTATGTATTTTATAGCATGTACAATAACCTAGGTATTGATGGGTCTTCTACTGAGTAAAAGAATAATAAATTGATTCA